AATCGAACGGGCCCCCCCCCCAAAACGGCATCCTTTCTGTTCCGCGTTTTCCTGAGGACCAGCGAGGGGGCTCTCCTTTCGGTCAGCGAGTGACCTTGGCTGTGTCCTCTCTGCTGTCAAATCACAGCCATCGTTTTTTTTTTTTTTTTTTTTTTTTGCTTTTTTGCTTTTTTAATTGTCAGAGGGGTGTGCACTCGCTCGAGAGAGGAGCGTGGCCCCTGTACAGCCCCTCCTCCTCCCTGTCTCCGTTCCTTCAGGGTTTGGGGCACACGTGTCTGGTGTGTTTCTCAAGCCACCAGGGCTGCGACTCGAACCACAGTCAGCCGTGTGGAATCCAGCTCCCTATGCTCAGGGCTTAACCACTGGGCTGCATGGGCCAGCCCCCCCCCCTTTTTTTTTTCTTTCTTCAGTAAAGGTTTTTTGGTTTTGATTTGGTTATGTTTTTACATTTTCTTTTAATGAGAGAGAGAGCCAAAGAGATCGGCACCTCCAAAAGGTCCCTCGTGCCTCTGTCCACCCCTAAGTCTCAGCTGATCTGGATGCCCAGTGTCCTCAGGGAGGCCCTGGGACGTGAACCCAGGCCCTCTCCCCTGTGGGTCTGCTTCCATTACCACTCAACCATCACCCGGCCTGTTTTTATGGAATCGCCTTGCAGAGATTTCTTGCCCTCTGGGTCTTGGTTTTCCCTGTGTGACCCCGAGGACAGACACTGTCTCCCCATGGGTCTCCTCAGGCTTCCGGCCTGCTACAGAGGGGGCTGTCATGGAGCGGTGTGATCTCCGCACCCGGGACGGCACAGGGACTCACCTTTCAGGGCTGGCACCTGGCAGGAGCCCCGGGCCGAGGGTCCGTCCTCACGCGGCCTTCGTCCCGGCTGTCCCCAGGAGCAGGTGACGGCGGCCCTGGCCCACGCGGTGGAGCAGCAGATGCAGAAGCTCTTGGAGGAAACGCAGCTGGACATGACTGAGTTCGACAACCTGCTGCAGCCCATCATCGACACCTGCACCAAGGACGCCATCTCGGTGAGGCGCTCCCGGAGGGCTGCCTGTCCCCTCCGTCCTTGGGTCCAGGCCCTCCCTGGGCTGCCGTGCACGCAGGGGTGCCCGTGCACGCTCTGGCCCCGGGAGCCCCGGCCCCGCTCACGGCCGCCCGGCTGTTGCAGGCCGGGAAGAACTGGATGTTCAGCAACGCCAAGTCGCCGCCGCACTGCGAGCTGATGGCGGGCCACCTGCGCAACCGCATCACGGCCGAGGGGGCGCACTTCGAGCTGCGGCTGCACCTCATCTACCTGATCAATGACGTGCTACACCACTGGTGAGCGCCGCGGGGGCCTCCCGCCTCCCCGCCCCGCCCAGGCCTCTGCTCCGGCCAGCACCTTGCTGGCCTGTTCTGGGCACAGGGGGCACTTCTCCACAGACCCCAGGGAGGTGTCTCGGCGCCCCACCCACCCTCAGCCCACACCCCGGCCTCTCCCCTACACCCCCGAGCTCCCTGTAATATCCTCATCTTCCCGGGGACCGCCGTCCCCTCTGCTCCTTGCTTTGCTGGGGCCGTTCTGGGCATCGCTCAGCCAGCCGGGCCTTGGGCTGTGCTGCCCCCCGCCGCCCCATCGGCCCTCCTCCTGTGGGGCCTTCTCCAGCCTGACCCAGCTCTCGGGCTGCCAGAGCCGCCTTTGCTGACCCCTGTCCCCGGGCCGTCAGCAGCTCCTTCCTGCCGTTGCCCTCCCCACCCTCCCTGAGGCTACAGCGCAGCCACTCGGGTGCCTCCTGGCAAAGGGTCATGGAGGACACCAGAAGCCAGGGCCAAAGGTGGGCATGGGAGGAGGCGTGTGCCACCCAGAGGTGTGTGTGGCCAACCAGGCCACAGCTGGCCTGTTTAGATCCATGCGCCCGTGAGAGCACGGGACAGGCTGGCCCAGCCCCACCCTCCCTGCGGGCCTTCTCCCTCACGCTCCTGTGCCCTTCTCGCCCCACTTCCTGTGCCCAGCCGGCGCCTCCAGCTCCACTCGGCCACCAATGCATTTTCCACGCGTGTCTGTCCTGCTGAGAAACGAACAGCCACTTCGATCCTTCTGCTCCTCCTCCTCCTCCCCCTGCCCCCTCCTTCCACGCAGCTGCACTGCTCCCTGCCCTTCGGACTGCAGGCGCCTCTGCCCAGACACACCTGTTTCCCGTCATCCTCCAGCGACGCTCTCCTTTAGCTCCGCTCTGTCCGGAAGCTGAGTGCCGTCCGCCCTGTCTTTCCGCCCCGGCCCTGGCCCGTCTCTGAACCTCTTCTGCTGAGCTCGGTGTAGGGAGGGACCCCAGACACTCGCCTTCGGCCCCGCGTCCTTCCCCAAGGCCGGCAGCCGTGCCCGCGCCGTGTGCCGTGTGCCATGTTAGGGCCCAGGGCCACCCCGTTGCACTGGCGTCCCTTGTCTGAAACGTCCTAGACGCTGGAGGGACTGGCCATGCTCGTTCCTTCTCCTGAGTGACCGCGGACCAGGCCCAGCCCCGCGGCACCCCTGGTCCATGCTCTGCATGCACGGGGTCTCTGCCACCCCGTGGCCGTCCATCCTGACCCCCACCTTGGGGGGGGTAGGGGAGGGGGAAGGGGAGTGCTGAAAGGCCTCGCTCTGCAGGCCCAGGCTGCCTTCCCTCGTCTCCCTGAGCCCAGCCATCGCCCCAGCCGGGTTGGGGGCCCGTGTCCCAGGAAGGCAGAGGGTGCCGTGGCTGGAGCTGCAATGGTAACGGGCGCGTGGCCGGGTCCCGCCCCAGGGCCATGACGCGCGGAAGGTCTCTCCCTCACAGCCAGCGCAAGCAGGCCAGGGAGCTGCTGGCGGCCCTGCAGAAGGTGGTGGTGCCCATCTACTGCACCAGCTTCTTGGCAGTGGAGGAGGACAAGCAGCAGAAGATCGAGCGGGTACGCGGGGCCCGGGGCTGGGCGGGGACGGGCACGGGCACGGGGAGATGCTCGCGGCCCCTGACCCGGCCTGTCCCTCCTCCACGTCCAGCTCCTGCAGCTCTGGGAGAAGAACGGCTACTTCGACGACTCCATCATCCAGCAGCTGCAGAGCCCGGCCCTGGGGCTCGGCCAGTACCAGGTGAGGCTGCCCCGGCCCCTGCCCGTACAGGGGGCAGCCCATGGGTTGGGGCCCCGCCCCTCCCGTGGAGCGGCCCAGGTATGCCCCGCCCCTTTTCCTGGTACAGCCGTGCTCACGTAGCCCACGAGAGTCACTGCTCTGGAGGGGTCTTCTTTCTCTTTTTTTTTTCTTTTTCAAATTCATTTTCTTTCTTTCCCGAGCGAGAGAGGAGTACAGGCGCCCTAAGAAAGTCCTCACACGACCATCCACGCCTAGCCTCACCAGCCAGGATCACACGTGTGTGCCCAGCATGCTTTTCTTTCTCTTTTTTTCTCTTTTCTTAAAAATGTATTTATTCGGGGACCAGCAGGTGGCTTCCACATGGCTAACCACGGTTCGAGTCCCAGACCTGGCAGCTTCCTTTGTCCCTTTCTCTCTCTCTCTCTGTCTCTCTCTCTGGTCAAATTAAAAAAAAAAAATGAATAAATAAATAACACTAAATAATAATTAAAAAAAAAAAACACTTAAGAAAATTTATTCATTCCGTCATTTTAATTTGACCAGAGAGAGAGGATAAGTGAGAAAGCAAGCCACCAGGCCCAGGCCCAGGTCCCAAACCAGGGTCAGCCATGTGGGAGTGTCCAGTGCCTTAACCACCATGCCACCTGCTGGCCCCCACCAGCGTGTTTTTCAAGCCACCGGGTCTGGGACTTGAACCACACAGTTGGCCATGTAGGATCCAGCCACCTTAACCTCCATACCACCAGTTGGCCCCTGGACCTGATTGATTATTTGTTTGTCTTATTTATTTGTTTTAAATTTGTTTATTCATTGCCTTATTTTAACTTGACCAGAGAGAGAAAGAGAGAGTGTGAGAAAGTAAGCCACCAGGTCCAGGACCCGAACTGTGGTCGCCCACGTGGGAGGGTCCAGCACCTTCACCACTTGCTGGTTCCCCTATTTATTTTTTTATTTTATTTATTTATTTTTTTTTAGAGGTTTTTGCTATAGGGTGCGTGCGCTCGTCAAACAGACAGAGAGAGACAGAGAGATAGGAAGTGAGAAATCATCCCCCAGAGGGGATGGCCACGCCGCAATCCTTTCTCCTCCATTCTCCTCTCGGGATCTTGGGCACACACGCACATGCACCCAGCATGAGTTTAAGCCACCGGGTCCGGGACTCGAACCACAATCGACTTCGTGGGAGTCCAGTGACATAGCCATTATGCTAACTGCTGGTCCCCCTATTTATTATTTTTAATATATTTTTTATGAGTTATTTTTATTTAACTTTATTTACTTATTTCAATTTGACTAGAGAGGGACAGAGCGAGTGAGAGAGTGGAGCGCGGAAGCCGTGGGACTGGGCAGGAGCCCCAAGGCTTCCGTCCTGTGCCACCCGCCCTCTGCTCCCTGCCAGGCCACTCTCATCATCGAGTACTCGTCGGTGGTGCAGCCGGTGCAGCTGGCCTTCCAGCAGCAGATCCAGAACCTCAAGACCCAGCACGAGGAGTTCGTCAACAGCCTGGCCCAGCAGCAGCAGCAGCAGCAGCAGCCAGCAGACGCGCACCCCC